AGGAAGGAAGGAAGGAAGGAAGGAAGGAAGGAAGGAAGGAAGGAAGGAAGGAGAGACATGGGAGAGAAGTGGATGGAAATCTGGGCTCTGACAGCTGCACCCAGAGTCACTCGCTGTCTCTGATAGAGGCCCCACAGGTTGGGCAGTGAGCAGTTGAAAGGAGAGGCAGGGATCGGTTAGCAAACTTGATGGCTTAATTTCCCAGCAGTCATGCCGTTGTGTGTCTTAGCATGGGCATCTGGGCACATATGGGCATACACCAAGGTGGCCATGCACCAGCGAAGCAGCCTTGGCTATATAAGTTACTCACACTGGGGTAGCAGGAGAAGCACCTGCCCTGGAGTTGTACTGGAACGGAACCCACTGATCCCCTTCACCCCACAGCCTGAGCCCGAGCACTGCGATCCTGGGCTTTCTGGTTTCCCTACCCCACAGAGGGCCAGAAGGAAAGGTTCGTAAGGCTGGGAAGTGGAAGGGAGAGGCAGCTGTGCTGTAGCTGCTCATCCTGCCCACCACTGATTCACCACATTGGAGGATGCAGCAGCTGGGCCGGCAGCTGCTCTTCCCTTCGGTTTGTCTGACTCCTGGGCCAGACTACACTCTCCACAGGGACCACCCACAATGGGTGCAGCTTCACTTCATCCTCACGGGCTTCCAGACACCTTGGGTTCTTCCTTCGAAACTGACTCGCTGTGCATATCAAGCTCCTGCACTAGATTATGGAGACGGCTCCATGGAGATGGTTCAACCTGGCCCACAACTGCATGAGCCAACTCTGTGATGCTCCAGACCCACTGCACAGTCCCCTACCAGTTAAGAGCCTATCAGTTAAACTATAACTAATACACTGGGGTAGCCTTTGTTAACAGAAAGAGAAGGAGAGGGAGGAAAAAGAATGCTCCACTTTCCCCTTTTCCTGCTCCAGGGCACAGGCTCATTGCAGCCCGATCCAGGGAGGTCCCCAGTTCCACACCTCTGAGGGAATACCTGGGCTCTTCCTGTCCATGCAAAGCTCTGGCGAGATCATGATCAATGTTTCCCAGTGATTGATGTCTGTCTTTTTTCCAACTCTTTCGCCTCCTCATTGCTGCCCTGGGTATGAACATACCACATAAAGCATAAGTCTCCAATTCTTTTTTTATTAATGTTATTTTTATATTTTAGATATACATAATGATCACATTCATCAGAATTTTCACCTGTACTTGATATAACTTAATTATTTTTCCCCAATCCCCTCCCTTCAACCCATCTTCCCCTACTTATTTACAAAAGCTTTGTTTCTATTTGTTTTTCTATTATTTTTCCTTTTGTCCCTTTCACCCTCCTACCTCCCTGTGTCCATTCCCATTGAATATTTTCATCCTATGTCCCAATAACTATTATACATTTTGGTTCTTATTTACCCTTTCAGTTTCTCACACTAGAGAAACAATGCAATATTTAACATGTGCATCTGATTTCTTTAAGAGTATGGTCTCAAGATGCATCCGTTTACCTAGTTTATCCCTCTTTGTGGCAGAGTAGCACTTCATTGTATAAAAAAACCCCACACCTTCTTTATCCATTCTGTTGATGGGCATTTGGGCTATTTCCAACATTTAGCTATTATAAACTGTGTGGCTATAAACATGGGTGTGCATATGTGTCTGTGGTATGATGCCTTTATTTCTTTCTGGAAGATAACAAGAAGGGAAATAGCTCAGTTAAATGGAACCTCTAGTTTTAGTTTTTTGAGGAATTTCCACACTGATTTCCACAGTGGTTGCACCAGTCTGCACTCCCATAAACAGTGGAGAAGGGTTCCTTCTTCCCCATAGCCTCACCACCATTCGTTATTGGTTGGTTTCTTGATAGCAGCCATGCTTTCTGGGGTGAGGTGGAATCTCAGCATTGTTTTCACTTGCATCTCTTGAATAATCAGTGATGTTGAACATTTTTTCATATATTTATTTGCTGTTTCTACCTCTTCATCTGAGAAGTGTCTATTCATTTCAGATACCCCTTTTGGATTGGGTCTTTAAATTTGGGGCCCTGATTTTTTGGACTTCTTTACATATTCTAGATAGTAGTCCTTTGTCTGAGGAACAGATGTCAAAAAATTTTTGCCACTCTGTGTGTTGTCTCTTTGCTCTGTTGATGGTTTTTCTTGCTGTGCAAAAGCTTTTTTTTTTTTGGCAAAAGCTTTTCAATAATATGAGATCCCAGTTGTTGATTCTTTGTGATAGTTCCTGTGTGATCAGGGTTTTGTTTATAAAGTCTTTGCCTACACTTATGTCTTCAAGAGTTCTACTTACACTATCTTTCAGCAGATTTAGTGTTTTAATATTTATATCTTTGATCCATTTCAATTTTAGTTTAGTGCATGGTGAGAGATATGGGTCTAGTTTTATAACATGTGGAAACCCAGTTTTTCCAGAACTGTTAATTAAAGAGGCTTTGCTCCAGTGAAGGTGTTTGTCAAAGATAAGGTAGCTGAGTGTGTCTGGCATTGTTTCAGCATCTTCTGATCTGTTCTGCTGATCATCAGATGTATTTTTTGACAAGTACCATGCTGTTTTTATCATCATAGCTTAGTAGTATAATTTCAAGTCAGGAATTGTGACTCCCTCTGCTTTGCCTTTGTTCCCCAGAATTGTTCTTATTATTCTAGGTCTCTTCTGGTTCCAAATGAATTTTAGGATTGTTGCCTCTAATTCTGAGATATACTATTAGTATTTTGATTGGGGTTGCATTAAATCTCTATAACAGTTTTGGAAGTATGGGCATTTTCACTGTATTAGTTGTTCCTACCCAAGAATAAGGGATATCTTTCCATTTCCTGATATTCTCTATCCATCTTCTTTTCCAGAGTACTCCATTTTCAGAGTTTTCAATGTAAAGGTCTTTTGTCTTTTACTTCCTTCATTAGATTGATTCCTAAATCTGTCTTTCTTTTTCTTTCTTTCTTTCTTTCTTTCTTTCTTTCTTTCTTTCTTTCTTTCTTTCTTTCTTTCTTTCTTTTTCTTTTTCCTTCCTTCCTTCCTTCCTTCCTTCCTTTGGAAGATACTGTGAAACCTGTGGTTACCCTAGTTTCTCTCTCAGTGAGTTTGTTATTTGTGTACAAGAATGTTATTTGAGTCTTGATTTTGTGTCCAGCTATGGTACTGAATTTGGCTATTAAATCTGGAAGTCTTTTGATGGAGTTTTTGGGGTCTTCTATGTAGAGTATCATACCATCTGCAAATAATAATAATTTAAATTCTTCCTTTCCTATCCTTATTCCATTTATTTCTTTCTCTTGTCTAATTGCTCTGGCTAGTGTTTCCAGAACTATACTGAATAATAGTGATGATAGTGGAAATCCTTGTCTTGTTCCTGATTTTAGAGTGAAAGCTTTTAGTTTTTGACAATTTAATATGATGTTGGCTGTTGGTTTGTCTAGATGGCTTTTATAAGATTGAGATAAAGGCCATCTATTCCAAGTCTCTGTAGGGTTTTTATGATGAATGGGTGTTGGACTTTATCAAATGCTTTTTCTCCATCTATTGAGAAGATCATGTGGTTTTTGTCCTTGGCTCTGTTAATTTGATATATTACATTTATTGATTTGCATATGTTGAACCATCCCTGGGATGAATCCTACTTGGTCATAGTGTATAATGTTCTTGATAATGTGCCGCATTCTGTTTGTCAGTTTCTTATTGAGGATTTTTGTGCCTGTGATCATGAAGGAGATTGGCCTATACTTCTCTTGTTGGTTGGATCCTTCTCTGGTTTTGCTATCAGGATAATGTGGGGGACTGCCCCATTGATTATGCCTAAAGCAGGCTGTAGGCAGTGCAGGCTGTAAAGACTTAACCTTGCAATTGGCTTCTTTTAAGAAATGAGTCTGATCAAACCATATGAAATAACACACAGCCAAGGTCAGAGTGACTCTTACCCAAATTCCATTCCCAGCCTAACACAAGAATGCTTTGTCTCTTATTCTACAAGCCTTGCCTGTGTCAGCAATGTATCATTAGCAACCACACATAGCCTCTCCATATAGCCCTCTTACTCCAACTTAACAATGACTGTGTCATCAATAGATATCAATGGTGCTGGCTATTCAGGGCCTTTGCTTGCTCAAACACTGGTCATCCCAGGTCCCTTTCTCTGCCTATTTAATTATGTCTTTACGTCTTTCTTCTCACCATGCATTGTAGCACCAAACAGGAGATCAGGATCCACTGCAGGGGTTCCAGATAGAGTGATGCTTGCTTCCAGGAATGAATCTGAGAGTGCTCCTTCCCCTTCAATTTCATTAAGGAGTTTGAGGAGCAGCAGCATTAGATCTTCTCTAAATTTCTTCTAGAATTCAGCAGTGAATCTGTCAGGATGTGGAATTTTCTTTGTTGGTAGGATTTTAATTACATCTTCAATTTCATTGACATATTCAGTTATTTAGAATTTTTATATCTTCTTGATTCAGCTGTGGTAATTCATATGTACCTTGGAAACTGCCCATTTCTTCTGTATTTCATCTTGTTAGAATACAAGTTCTTGAAGTAGATATTGATGATCTTCTGGATTTCTGCAGGATCTGTTGTGATTTCATCCTTTTCATTCCTAATTGCATGGACTTGAGTCTTTCCTTTTTTTTGATAAATTTAGCTAAGAGTTTGTTGATTTTATTTATTTTTCTTTCCTTAAATTCTTTTATTGGTATAGTTTAGGTATACAATACATTTACATTTATCATTGGGTACTTGTACTGTACATGATGTATCTTGGTTCTTATTTTTTCCCCATTCCCTGTCCTCCCTTCCCTATTTACAAAGACTTTGTTTCCATTTTTTCCTTTTCTCATAATTTTTCCTTTCCCTTCTTTTCTTTCCCCTTCCCCTCCCACTTCCCCTACCCCTTTGAGTCTTTTCTTCCTATTTCAAATTATCAATTATTCATTTTAATTATTTTAATCTTTATTTACACTTTCAATTTCTCACACCAGAGAAACTATTTGGTATTTACATATATGTATCCTATTTATTTCACTTAAGAGTATGGGCTCAATATGCATCCATTTAGCTACAAATGTCTCTAGTTTCTCATTCTTTATGGATGAGTAGTATTCCATTTTATTTAAAAACCACATCTTCTTTATGCAGTTTCCAGTTGATGGGCCCTTGGGCTGTTTCCAAGCTTTTGCTATTACGAACTGTGCTGATTTATAAACATGGGTGCACATATATCACTGTGGTATAATTCTTTTAATTCTTTTGGGATGATACCCAAGCAGGGGAATAGCTGGGTCAAATGGGACCTCTAGTACTAGTTCTTTGAGGTGTCTCCATACTGATTTCCACAGTGGTTGCACAAGTCTGCACTCCCACCAACAATGGAGAAGGGTTCCTTTCTCCCCATAGGCCTGCCAACATTTGTTATTGGTTGATTTCTTGATAGCAGCCATTCTTTCTGGGATGAGGTGGAATCTCAGTGTTGTTCTCATCTGAATCTCTCAAATGATCAGTGATGTTGAACATTTTTTCATATGTTTATTTGCTGCTTTTACTTCTTTGAGAAATGTCTGTTCATTTCAGATGCCCATTTTGAATTGGGTCTTTCAATTTGGGGAGGTCTGATTTTTTTCAGTTCTTTATATACTCTAGATAGTAGCCCTTTGTCTGAGGTACAGCTGCTGAAAATTTTTTCTCACATTGTAGGTTGTCTCTTAGTTTTGTTGGTGGCTTCTCTTGCAATGCAGAAGCTTTTAAGATGAGATCCCAGTTGTTGATTCTTTGTGCTAGTTACCGTGCTACTGAGGTTTTGCTCATAAAGTCTTTTCCTATGCCAACGTCTTCAAGAGTTCTACCTAACTTATCTCCCAGCAAGTTTAGTGTTTGTCTTAATATTTACATCTTTAATCTACTTCATCTTAGTTTAGTGCATGGTGATAGATACCAGTCTAGTTTTAATCTTTGGCAAGTTGAAACCCAGTTTTTCCAACACCATTTATTAAATAAGCTACCTTTCCTCCAGTGAGGGTGTGTGGCCCCTTTGGCAAAGATGAGCTGGCTGAGTATGTCTGGAGTTGTTTCTGCATCTTCTAATCTATTCCACTGGTCCTTGGG